GTTTTGAAGTGAAAACTTCTTTAGAATCGTTGTGATTTCAAACCGGATGCAACGGAAAAAACGACAGGTAAGAGACACAAATACAAAAATGTGTAGGATGAAGCCAGCAAAGAATGAGACAGAAATATACATACTATTTAATACAGCGCCATCTGTGAGATTTTTTAATACTAACGTGTGTATGAAAGCTCTTGTAGTGAATTTTAATTTAGGATTATACGTGAAATTAAAATATCAATTCACAGAGGGCGCTACCTTACAATTATTTACTAATGACAAAATTTTACATATACTTAAGACGTTTAGGATAATTGTATTTTAATTTTGGAAGGTTTCACTTCTACCACGTGTGAATTGCACACATGTATTTTTTTTACTCTGTGGGTGTATTATATGTATATTAATTATTTTTGTTCGTGTTGACACTATGCTCTATATTACTCTACAAGATGCATTGCACCGTTATTGCCACGGATTACTGCTGCGTGATAGTACTGCCGGTCGGCGCCGGTACACCTACCTTAGTTTGAGATCTCTACTGTTTTCCGTACCATTTTGTACCGATAATCTACTTAGAGTACTATGAGGAAGTACCACACTTCACTCGAGGAATAGCAACTCTCAACATAATATGTAATCATTCATATTAATATACTTAATATTTAGGTCATAAGCGTTTTATAACAGATGGTGATTTCGAGAGATACATAGGTCTGTTTTAATTAAGAAGAGTAAAACTAATGCCAGCCACTGACATGCGCGCAAATATTCGTACATTGTACGAATGTTTGCGCGCATGTGAAGGGCCGTCAAACATTCATTCGCAAACCTAGCGGCTGTGCAAATGGGTTCGCATACTCAATTTGCGAACCCGTTTGCGCTTCCTCCTACACTTGTTTACGAATGTCTCACGAATTTCTCCTCCTTTTTAATTCGTCAATAGAACATTGAAGAGAAAAAGAGTTTTTAATTCTTTCCCAGACATCATTAACAGCCATGCTGTTTTTATGGGATTTCTTTTGATGAAGATACGCTACACAGTAAACGTTACGAACTATGAAAATGGCGTATAGTATAC